TTTGTTGTTGTTGTTGTTGTTGTTGTTGTTGTTGTTGTTGTTGTTTTAAAAAAGAGTAAGAGAATTACAGGACAATTAATGAGAATAGAAAAAAAGATGCGACAAGACGAAGTAATGGGTGTGTGGGTGGGGGGTGGGGGGAGATTTGGTGTGAAATTGGAACTGTGTGAAACAGGTTAGGGCACAGCAGGTGGAGAACTGTAAAAGAAGATGGGAAAAAAGAAAAACTGAGAAAAAAAGAAGAAAAAGAATGAAGGAAAAAAAGAAGGAAAAGAAAGAAGGGAAAAAAAAAGAAAAGCTGAAGAAAGGGAAAGGCGGAGAACTGTTGAGGAAAATTGAGGGCTGATTTTTTTTTTCCGAACGCACAGTTTGTCTCTTCTGTCCATCTTCCACGTACTTCCAAAGCCTGTACTTACTCGACTCCATGCTACACGTATCACCAAACTTGGTCCCAGGGAAATGTGGCCATTATTGTGCTGACTGGTCGTAAAGTCCGACCTGAACTAACCCAAGCAACCACACTGCTTACCATTTACTATAATTGTAATTGCTGCCTAGTGCCTGCAATCACTACCTAGGAGCATTCTTTCCCTCACTCGTACCGATTGTCAGCTACGCATAGTCTGTCTCCAACGATTCCACCCCCACCCACCATCCTGCCCCACCCCGCCCCACCCCGCCCCACCCCGCCCCTTTAGTGGGTAGAAAGTATCGATTGCCTTAAGAGACGCGTGCTGCTGGAGACATCTTCCCCATCACGGGAAAATATGCGCGCGCGCGTGCGCGTGGGTGCGGTCCCCACCCATTCGGAAAGAACGCTGCCAGTTGTTGCTGCGTCTCATGGCGGGAAACGTGGTAGCGTTGCTGCCATGGTGTGCCGCGAGATATGACGACGCTGGTGTTTTCATTGAGCACTGGCAGTTGATGCCATCTCTGATCACTTGTTGACGTGGCAGTGGCGCCGCAGTGCTAGCCGAGACCCGCCCTAGATGCGGCCGACCAAGGTTTTTTTTTGTTTTCCTCCTCCTCCTCCTCGTCCTCTTACTCTTACTCGACTCCAGCATCTACTCTGCTCCTTGTGGCACCTGCTAGATGTTCTGCCTGGACACATCACCGGTGTTACTCCCCAGCAGAACACGTGTGATCGTGCTTAATGTATCAAACATTCATGTGTGTGGTTTTTAGGCGTTCTCCGTGTTTTCCCGCCCGTGGCGATTGAACATTGGCGTTGATTTGTTCCTTGTTGTGTTAACGATACCCTTAGAGACTGATTAGAAGTTTCTGTTCTGCCATAGCTTTCAAGTTGTCGGTTAAAGACTGATTGGAAGTTTTTGTTCTGCCATAGCTTTCAAGTTGTCGGTTTTAACCATCTTCGCCTTTGACCCAGCGCTTGATATCCTCATTTAGTTACTGGGGTGTGACAAATCACCCCTTCTCAGCAGTTCCGGTCTTAGTAAACCCTTGAACGGGGGTTTAACTTTGGCAACAGGTGGTGCTACATCAAAGCTGTGCCGACCTGTATCGTTTAATGACGTATTGTTTCCCTTGTTTTTACCATGCTTGTGAACAAAAGGAACACCGAGAGACAATGATGAGTACGGTTGTCGAGCGTGTACTTGAACAATAAACCTTTGTGGCGTGCATGTGGTGAAGGGATATCAAAACGCCACAACAATTGTGGAAACTGACGGTGTGTTGAATTCTTAAATCGACGTAGGCACGTGTCTGACTCCAGGAGTATGTTACTCTGGGTTCAGTCCTCACCCACCTACAATATGTTACAGGCTGCAACCGTTACCGTAAGTGTGCTCTACTTGATCGTTTCGGAGTTCGTACACCGTTTTGTTTTTTGTGCTGTTGGGGTTTTTTCCGTCGTTAAATTCAGCACAGGGGATGATTTGAAGGTACTACTGATATGACCTGTTTCTTTTCTTTTGTTCTTTCATTCTTTCTGTCTTGCTTTCTATCTTTCTTTCTTTCTGTCTTTCTTTCTTTTTCCCTGCTTTCAATAACCGTTATTCTGCCGACATGCGTTTCGTATTATAAACTCCAACAGAAGAGACCACGTCACTGTCAGTGATCGCGGTATACCCCCACGTAGCTCGTTGACGAAAGACGCAATCAATCGGGACTGTCAGAATTCTAAATAATTATTCAGGATCCCTGGTGAAATCGAAACGGATATAATGTGAGCTGCTATTTAACGTGTGTCTGTGTGTCTGTGTGTGTGTGGGGGGGGGGGGTATTTCTTTGTGTACCCAGGGATTTCCTCAACGTTTTCTATGTTTGTTTTGGATGGATGCTCTGATAGCATCTATGGTTCCTTATGAATCTTTGCGCTTCCCAGTTTGTTAGTTACGTTGTGTGTTTGCTTATTAATTGTTTCCATTTTTCTTTTCTTTGTTTCTGGCCTGAAGTTGGCAAACGCTTACGTACTGTGTGAAACATAATGTATTGGTGCTAGCTGGCCGTAACAGGCGCTTCTGTTTGCTTCCGCATTGCAGTGTTGGAGAAATTAAGCCAAGCAGTTTTGTGATGTGTGTGTGTGTGTGTGTGTGTGTGCACGTGTATGTGTGTGTGTGTGTGTGTGTGTGTGTGTGCGCGCATATGTGTGTCTGTGTCTCTGTGTGTGTGTATGTGTGTGTATATGTGTGTGTGTGTGTGTGTGTGTGTGTGTGTAT